TTAGCTCAGCGGCAAAAGCGCCTGCCTGGCAAGCACAAGGTCGTGAGTTCGGTTCCCGGTACCGGAGAAAAACCAAAAAAAAAAAAAAAAAGAAAAGGCAAAGGAAAAATGTCCTAAAACTTAAATCTTTTGATTTTTCTTTTTGCTACTGCTGGTTTGAAAGAGCCCTCTAGTTAGCCTGTCTTCACATTTTCTTTGTGTTCCTGTATTTTCTTTAACTCTTGAGCAGATAGTTTGATTTGGAGAGGGGCCACCACAGTGTTCCCTGGCAGTAGCTGGTCTTCTGTATTTCTGTCTCTCAGGGTGTAAGCTTCTCTTTGACGCTGAGCACAGCAGCCATCCCACTGTACTGACTTGCTTCCGAAAGAAAGGCAGTATCTCGTCCTCTGATAGGTTTCTTTGCGGAGTAGATTTCAACAAGTCTTTCTTTTCTTTTTTTTTTTTTTTTGTCTTTTTTTGAGACAGGGTCTCGCTATGCAGTTCAGGCTGGCCTTGAGCTCACTTTGCATCCCAGGCTGGTCTTGAACTTGCAGCGATTCTTTTGCCTCAGCCTCCCAAGTGCTGGGATTACAGGTGTGCGCCACCACGCCTGACAACATGTCTTTCTTGTCAGGGGTTTATTGAGACACTTTTTGTGCATTAAAACACAAGGTGCTGATCTGCAAAGGTGATGCCTTCACATAATGCTTCTCTTTGGAAATGCAGATAGGTACCTTAACAAGTGTATCCCACTGCTATTAGGCACCAATATGATGCCAATATTATTTCAAAAGATACTGCAGAGCAAATAAATATATGAGAAAATACTGAATATCACTTTCCATTTGAGAGATGCAAATTAACACTAAGATTCCATCTCACTCCAGAAAGAAAGGCTGTTATCAAGAAATCAAACACTGGAGGGGTTGTGGGGAAAAAGGAACCTTTCTCCACTGTTGGTAGGAGTATAGACTGGTGCAAGCACTGTGGAAACCAATATGAAGATTCTGCAAAAAACTAAGACTAGAGGTTCCATTTGACTCAGCTATTTCCCTTCTTGGTATCTTCCCGAAAGAATTAAAAGCATCGTACCACAGTGATTTGTGCACACCCATGTTTATAGTGGCACAATTTATAATAACTAAATCTTGGAAAAGCCCAAATGCCCATCAGCTGATGAGTGTATAAAGAAGATGTGGCTTTTTTTTTCTTCATAGTGGAGTACTACTCTACCATAAAGGATGAGCTTGATACATTCCTATCTAAATAGATGCACCTTGAGACCATACTCCTAAGTGAAATAAATTGGACACACATGCTCAAATACTGTGTTATTTCTCTGGTGTGAGAAAAATGTGTAAATAAGGACCAAAATGTATAATAGATATTGGGAAATGGGAAGAGAATATTCAAATGAGAAGGGGAACAAGGGAGTAGGGAGGGGGAAAGGAAAAAGGGACAAGAAAAAAAGAACAGAAACAATGTAAACAAAGCTTTTGTAAATAGCAAGAGGAAGAGGGCTTGAGGGGAGGGGAGGGGAATGGGAAAAAAAGAAACAGCAAGATATATCATGTACAGGTACAAATTCCCTGTGGTGAGTGTTATTATGTATATCTAAAATGTACCAATAAAATAAAACACACACAAGATACTGCAGAGAACTCCCTAGCAACATAGCCTTCTCTAATTTTTCTTTCCAGGGCACTAAGACTTTAATAAAGCTAAAAATAACATGTCAAACAGTGACATGTCTGGCCTACTGATAGTAAAGAAATAATTATTGAGATACATTACCTTGTGAATATGAAAGCATTTGTTTGGTGTCTTTTGTTGTTACTATATGTTACTATATGTGTCTCATTCTGCTCTTTTCATGTTTTACTCCAAGATGCCTTTTTCTTGGTGTTTGAGTAGGTGCATTGTCCCAAGGCTCCGGGTGGTAGAAACCACCTGCTTTCAGGTTGTGAGAAGATGGAAATTAAGAGCAGCTGGGACTGGTGCTTGCTTCTGGAAGACGGCATTACACTACCTTATCAAGAGGACAGCTGTGTTTTCATTTCAGAGCTAATGCTCAAGCCTTCTTGCTAAATATAAACTTTGCGTGTTAGGATGTGGTATTTTTCAATGAAAAGGTCACATGGATTACTTTGTTTTCTTTTCTCTTACTTCAGCTTAAGCCAATCCAAATACGTTCAAATCCACTGTCCACGTATAATCAGCAATTATGGCTGACATGTGTCGTCGAGTTGGATCAGTCAAAAGGTATGGGGCCTGACATTTGGGGATGGTTTTTCTAGTGCAGACTTGCGTGTGGTACTGTGGTTTGAAACCAGTGCCTTTGTACTGACTACATCCCTGGACTGTTTTTGCTTTTTTATTTTGAGACAAGGTCTTGCTTCATTGCCCAGACTGGGCTTGAATTTGTAATCTTTCTGCCTCAGCCTCCCAAAGTGCTGGGATTACAGGCATCTGCCACCAAACCCAAGCTGTCATATTTAAGAGGTTGAAGGGACTTTAAGGTATTTGGACAAGTGCTGAAAGTGTGTAAGGACACTCATTATTATTTATAACAGCAATAAGTTGAAGCCCTTTAAATGTCTCCCCACAGGAAATATAGTTCTGATATATTTCTGGAGAGCACCTGACAGCCTAGCTCAGTGGAGATCTGGGAGCGAATTAAGTCCTAATGCCTAAGGCAGCGATTGTGCCCCTCCGGGACACTTGGCAGTGTCTGGAGATAGTTTGGTTGTCTCAGCTGGGGAGGAAGGAGTGTTACTGGCATCTCATGGGCAGAGGCCAGGAATGCCATTAAATGTCCCGCCGTGCACAGGACGGACACCTGCAGCAAGGAATTATCCGGCCCAGGGTGTTGCTGGTGCCAGGGTTGAGGAACCTGGCCTAAGGCATCCATTGTGTAGCTAAAATGACACTTTCCTAAATGCCACTAATTTTGTGTTGTCTTTGAGAGAATTGAGAAATGGTCAGCCAAATTATTTTGAGAATAATAATTTTTTATTATTATTATTATTATTATTATTATTACTCTGATTGAGAAGAATTTCAGTAGATAACCTTATAAGTATAGTAAATGAAGTAGAAAAGTACATATTACTAAAAAATAGCCCCTTTTTGGTAATATTTTAAAAAGCAAAACCAACGTTTTACAATTGTGTATTTGTGAGTTTAAAAAATGACCTACAAAGGTGTGCACAAAAATGTTATTTATAGTTGTGTCTAGGTGGTGGAATTGTAAATGCTTACTGCCATATTTATTTCTTTTGGTTCTCTGACTTTTTATAATGAGAATACAGTTACTATTTTAAAAAATTGCATTAGTGCATGTTTGCAGTGCATGATCACATGCCTCTGGGGGAACTGGCACACACGCGTAATACATGCTCATGCCCCTCCCCTTCTTCCTCGCTTCTTCCAGCTTTTGGTCTTCTTCCCATTTGCAAAAGCTCCGTGTCTGTGTTTTTTTTGTTTTTTTGTTTTTTTGTTTTTTTATTTTTTATTTTAAAGAATAAAAGAAGGATAACATAATAATAATAGGGGGGACTTAGCAAATTACAGACAAAATGGTAGGAAATTATCAATGGTTATCATTTTACATATTATTGTCTACAAAATAGTTTCTCAGGAAAA